TTCTAAATTTAAATCTCACTTTTTTCAATAGTTTTAAACGAATAACAAGATAGCTTGCATTTTATTATAAATGTTGTCTTTTTTTGTTATTTAATTAAAGCTCATGAGTGGAGGTATAAGCTCTATAAATTTTGTAAACATTCAACTTTTTTTAGAAAAATTTTACTATTAGCAATTCTTAAGTGCGCCATTATACCTCCCGTTACTTTAAGTATTCTAAAATGAGATCCACAAAATATAACGAAGTTGAAGGAATACCCTTATTGTAATCACAGGACTCTCGGGACTCCAAAAAAATTATGCAGATCGTTGATCCAACTAAATCGAAAAAGAGCGATAAAAAACTTTATAATTGTCAATATAGCATGATAATTCTGAGATACATCACATTGGTACGCGATAATTTTTTTGATTATTCAGAAAATGCCGCTTCGCGGCATTCTCAGATCAAAAAAATTATCACTGTACCAACGCGATGTTATCTCATATTATCATACTATATTATATAATAATTGTTCATATGACCTGTTGACCCGGGTCATGACCCGGGCTAAATTTCTGACCCGTCGGGTCACTATTATCTGACCCGGGTCAGAACACTAGGATTAAACCAGATTCGTGTGTGTTTTTGATAGCTGCGCCAGGAATCATAAGAGTGCTCCAAGTTCATAGCTTTTTCGTTAATATCATAAATATTCCACGGTTTCTAGCGTTTATCCATAAACATTTTCTGATGATATTTATGATGGTATCGGGATATAATTATCATTGACCAACTATTTATATTTTCTTTCTCATATACTTTCGAAAATGCAACCTCTAATATAGCCAAAATGTTTAAAAACATATCCAGGATCGCCAACCAAAATTTTGTAACCGATAATTAAAGTTTGCTTATGTTAAGATTAGCAGATAGTTGTTTATTATTCAGTGTATATATAATAAAAAGTCAACTAAATATTGTATGATATTCAGTATTTTTGCTAAATTTGTTGAACCATATTGTATGTATTAAACATGAAAATAAATGACTTATAAGTAAAAATTTAGAAGTTAAGCCAAAAGTTTTTTTCCAAAATGTCTTATTGATCGAAATGAAGTTTTGTATTCTACCAGCTCGACAACAGCTTTATCAAGTATTTCATCATATTTTTCATAACTAATACTTGTATATTCGAGAATCATGCCTTTTACAATTTTAAAAAATGTTATGAATTTCCTTGTCACCTACAATATATTCATAAAGATATACTTTGTTAAATATATTTATATAAAGATATATATATGAGATTGTAATAAAAAAAAAAAAAAGGTTTACCACAGAATCAGAATTAGAAAAATATATTATTCTTTCTTCAACTTTGTATTCAAGATTATTATCTTTAAATAATTTCGTTGTATTTTTGTAAAATTCTTCGGGACAAATACCATTATTTCGAATATGATTAAACACTATTGAACAAAATATTATTTATTGCAATCTATAATAATTAATTTATTAATAATGATATTAATAATAAAATAAGTAAAATTACATGCGTCCATGAGGAATTTAGTGTTAGGACCAGCATCTAAGATGTTAATATCAGATTCCACATTCTCAATCCATCCACCAGGTTTTAATATTCGTAACAATTCTAATATATATATATATATATATAAAAAGATATATTGATTAATTTATTTGTCAATTAATTGTCATAGCAGATTCTAAAATTTTAAAAGATATATATTTTTAATATTTAGGAATTGTATTAAAGTTTAGAGTTATAGCTGCTAACAAAATGATTCAAGTAAATTTTAAATCCAAAAAGATCCCAAATATCAGTATCAGCTAATCTTAGTTACATTAACTATTGAAATGCTTTAAATTTTTTACCTGGAAATAATTTATTAGAAGCATCTTTCGATGTAATATGCCATAACAGATCTCTGAAATGAATATAATCAAATGAACAATCTGGATATTGCAGTCCTTCTAAGGCATCGCCTTGTGTAAAGCTGACATTTGAAAGAGTAAGATCTTTGGGATCTATAGTATCAGTCCCAGTAAAGTGTGAAAGAGGATAAATTTTTGCCTTCAAATTAAACAATTAATGTGTTAAAGAAAATAATATCCATTGAAATTAATAGAGTGTAACATTAATTAATGTTGTTATAATAAACAAAATACCATATCACAGATCCATGAGCCGAATCCACAACTTTATTAAAAAAAAAAAAAGGTGCGTAAGATATTATTATAAACAAATAAGGAACTGATACTGTATTTCCGTACGTACGTACGTACTGTACGTACGTATCCTTAGTACTTCCACACGACGTATTAAGTCACATGTATGCTATACCTCATTTGGTATCACTGTCACATTGGTACATACATAAGGTGTAGAAATACCAAAAATATGCAGTTCCCTAAAGTGATACATATAAAGCTTACCCAACATCAAGGACTTTGACCTCACCACGTTCTAAGATAGATTCGATTGGAGAAAAATAGTTCGAGCCCCAGACTTTCAAGAAGAAATCATGCTAAATAATTGTTAATAATTGTTAATATTTGTAAATGAACTCAGATACAAATACGTAACGCATTCTAATAAAAATATAAAAAAAAAAATCGCTTAATAATGTAGATTACGACTAACGTGACTATATTCCCTATTTAAATTATAATCAGCTACTGGAAATTTGGTACTCGCTATTGTATGTTTACGACCAGTTATTTCATGCACATTATTAACGTCGGTGTCTTCATTATTTATAACTCTATATTTTTTGGCTTTTGATGACGTTGAAAGATCGTTACCCATTGTTAAATAAATTTAATGAATTGAATAATATAAAGTATGATAAAAGAGGGAAAAAAAATTAAGGACATAAGTCCTTGGCAAATATATATAATATTAATTTACTAGCAAGAAATATTTAAAATAAAGTACGTACGTACCACTAATAAACAAAGGTTTAATTTACCTTGTGCTATGTAATTTATCTGAGCTTAATTTTATGATGATAGTACGTTACATTCTGCATGCTTTCTTAACCAATTAGATAATATAATTTGGTGTAATTGTGCGTGTTACAAAAATAAATATTTAATAATACGTTAAATAATTGGATACTACTGTAGAAGATCGGAGTCTTCCGATGCACACAAAATTCCCCGTGGATACCTTAATAATTGTAGTGCTTTATTACAACTATCATTTCACGAATTTTATTAGTTCTATCCACCTAACATTGCTATGCTTTGGACAATTAATATACGAAAATTTGAAATTTTAAAAACTGAAACATCGCATAATTTGTTAACGTTTATTAACAATGTCTAAAATATTAAGGATACTCTCAAGCATTTCTTTATGTGATTAGCTAATGATCGATGTCGTGCACACTACTAAGATTAATTTAATAAGGGATCACTTTGTGAAATGAGAATATTATATTTTAGCCGATCAACACAACTTTATGATAAAAAAAGGTCACTGACCATCTTTTATATTCGTCACGATAACTAACTCACATGACCGGCTAGACTATTTCCCATTAATTATAAATTGTGCTCTGAATTATGAATTAATATAATCGGTTTTTATTAAAATAATTGGTTCATTATTGACATTGCATCATTCGTTCAGTTTTTAATTCATGATTATTACTTCTAAAAGAACTTGTCATCAAAACAAAAGCTAATTTGATTCGTTTGCATTTTACACGTATTTATTTATTTATCAAAAAGTTTCCAAAATATTAATTTCAAAATTTATAAACATATATAATGATTTTTAATAAAATATCCAAGTAAGATTTTTGATCTAATGACAAATCACGTTTCCTTTACGTATTAGGGATAGGTGCGTTCACGTGGCTAACAACCAATCAAAATATAAATTTTGATTAACACGAGACAAAAACAAAGAAAAAAAGTGAAAAATAAAAGATATACAAAAAACGAATCTCTAAATCTACCTTGAAGCATTAATAAAAAATGTTGGGAAGGCAATTTTACCTATAAGACTCGCCTAACCCTTACTATCTAACCAACTCTTACCCTATTTTTAACTAAGTAATCAAAATTATATGAACACACCTGGCTTTAGCCATCCCCCTTATTAAACGAGATGAAGTAAAAATTTAAAATTATATCCAAACTTACCTTCTGATTCTAAAAATTATTATACTAGTGAAGAATTTCTAGCTTTAAAAATAAATCGCAAAATTGATTATCTCATATAATTAATAATGTAGAGCCATACTAGAAAAAGATCTTTGGAATAATATATTATAAAATATTATCGACAAACCATATATTACTTTAACACATACATAATCAACAAACGCTATAAAGTATATTCTACCATTAAATACAGTATTAGAAAAGCACTTGCGGTAGAAATTACAATGTTGATTGATAAAGCGTATTCCAAATAATAACTATATAAATTTAGGCTAATTTTTCCTGGAATTAGAGACGCTTTTTATCTCTGCTACATTTTAAAATTATGCAAATACTGTTGTAATTATTGAAATGTCAATTTATGAGTTGCGAAGACATCTTTACTTTTCAATGAAAAAAATGAAAAATGTTTTATTCATTCCTCTATTTAATATAACAGAAAAAAAAATTATATCGAATATATCATATAATAATTGATTTTAAAATTGATTCAAAGAACCTCTTAGCCGTCTGCAAGCTACCAAGTTTTATTTTCGTTCGAACGCAAATTTATTCATATAAAATTGATATTATCACAATATATTGGTTGATTTTTTTATCGACAGTAGCAAAATTATTTTTTTTATTAACATGAATAAAATATAGAATAAAATTATAGTTTAATAGAAACTGTAGTAGTGATAAAAGCGTATTTATGAGTGCTTTTATATTGTCATGATGGCTTGAGAAAATAGCATTATTTTGGTATATTTCATTATAATGAATGGTGTTGACTCAAAGTTTTATTAGGGGTAAGTCGTTTCAAATATTGAAAATATTTTTTCTGAGAGATTGGCAGGATCATTATTCCAGAAATGATTGTATTGAAATGGATATCTTCTATAGGTTCTTCTCTTTTCTCTTGAAAAACGTGAACAACAATCGTCTCATTTGTAAAATGTTGAATAGCGATCATCCACTCGAAATTCTCAAAGGATTACTTTAACGTTATAAACAATATCCTTGTTTGATAAAACATTGAGGCTTGATATATGCCAGTATCCATGAATAATTAAGTTTGAAGCCTCAGGCGTCTCATTATTTGTTTAAATCTGTAATCTTTGGTTGTCCTTGATGAATAAAGAAATTCTTTGAATGCAAATTATTAAAGTAACAGTGATTAAAGTATTAGTAAACAATAAATATAACATGGGTTAATCTGTGTATGCATAAGTGGTGTGATCGGGATTTGCATGATACATTAGCGTTAGTATTAGCGTTATATAGCCTACCGCGTGTAACTCGGAGATAATCTTGTAATATTTGACTTTCATATAAACGTTCCTGATAATAAACTGAGTGGTCATCGATGTCGTGGCTGTAAATGTGGCGTGTTAGAGGAGTACTTGAACGACACTCCGTCAAATATAATAGCCAAGCAAGTTGATTTTAATGTGAAAAGCCATAAAGACCCGTATACTGTATTTCACCATGACAATAGAATAAACTCTTCGTAATAATTTAAGCTAATTATATGGTATTAATAATAGCTTATTATTCTGCAGTAGGATTTAATTAAAGTTTCTCATTAATAAACTTTGTTTTTTCATACTTGTACGACTTTAAGACATTTAAAGAACAACTGTTAATTCAGTCTCCATTCGTATTTAAAAGCTTTCCAAATCTCAAATGTTAATCACAATTTGGTTTGTAAATTTATTACATTCGAGATAATTAATATGCCTATCGGAAACAGCTTTTTCAAATCATTTTCTGGTATGTTTGCCATGACTTTCTGTCGAAAATCAGATTACTGAACAGCAAGTATACTTATACATGTGTGCTACATTAAGGGTTTCGCCGCCTAGTGCTAGCAAATAGTATAATTAAATTTCATAGTCTAATTAGACTTAAATTTTTGAAATCTTTTTATATAGCTCTTGGCCTACTTTTTTTTATAAAAATGTTATTACCAGATTTTTTTATATACGTAGTTCTCGACTTTGCTTCATCTGGACTAATGGATATAAAGCATTGGGATAAACTAAATTATAACCAGTTAACTTACATATAAACTAGGGGTCTGCAAACCGGGCTCGTGCCTGTGCCCAACAAAAGGCACAGGCATAGGCATGGGCACAAAGATTCAGGCATGGACATGGGCATGGGCATAAGAATTTGCCATGGGCACAAAGATTCAGGCATGGACATGGGCATGGGCATAAGAATTTGCCATGGGCATGGGCATAGGCACAAAAATTTGGCATGGGCATGGGTATTGGCACAAAGATTTGGCATGGGCATGGGCACGGGCACAAAAATTTGATATTTATTAATTAATTGTGCCTGGCACCTTTTTGGCATCTTTTTGGCATCTTTTGGCATCTTTTTGCCTGGCATTTGTGCCCATGTCTATAAAATGCCTGGCATTTGTGCCTATGCCTATAATAATTCCTGGTAATTTTGTGCCTATAGGCATGGGCATAGCATGAGGCACTAGTGCCTGGCATAGTGCCAATATGCCTGGCATGGGCATTTGCAGATCCCTAATATAAACTACATGTTACCGTTACACATTAACGCTAAAATATAATTTCAAAAAAAAAAAAAAACAATGCTGTGTTATAAAATGAATATAAACTAATGGATTTATTATTCTACCGTTTTTTCATTAAAGATCCGAGTTACTAAGGTTGCTTATTGTAATCAAGATTTCAAATCCAACTCGTTAATTTTTATTAAATGGATCGTTATTGCCAGCAAGGATTGGATTTGAAGTCAACAATTTCATCGATTAGCAAATTAGTATCATTCACTTCATTTAGTCACCAGTCGTATGTTGCAAGAACCAGGGAAAGGTTCAATGAATCAGAAGATTTTCCAATAAATTACAAATGATTACAATAAATATACAGCATCAATAAAACTATATTCAAAAGAGAACTTCATCACACTTTATTAAATTATATAAATAAGATATAAGTTGTCATTTTATCCCTTATTCTAATATCATCTAAATTATTTAACAAGATTCACACCATTTTAATACGAGGTTTTTATCTTGTTATTCAATATGACATGATTCAATAAGTGCTAAAAGATTATTCCTTTAAATGAACCATTTTAGGATCGAATGACAAACTAGCTTTGTTTACCAACATTAATAGTTAATAATACTATATAAAAATGAATACAAAAACATTGTAGATTTTACTGTAACAATTATATAAAAACGTCAAACAAAAAATACTAATTATTTTTTACTCGAACCCGGAGTGTGTCGGCGACCTAATAATCTTTGAGTTAGCTTTTGAATTTCAACAGTATGTTTTACCAATTCAAGAAGCGCTGCGTCTTGAACAAAATCTTTAAGAGCGATTTCATAATAATATATCTTAGTTTCTGATTTTTTGAAATAACAACTCAGCTTTGATATATTTTCATCAGTCTCATTTAATTTTCTATAAGCGCCTTTATAAATTCCGTTTTTGTCTTCTTTGCAAATGAACTTGATTTTTTCCAAATCAATATTTAGATTTTTTGCTTCTTGTAAATGTAGTTCTAGTTTTTTATAATCTGATAATTTTCTTCGCATTTCTTTAATCTCATCATGAAGGTAAGCACTAGTACCTTTTCCACTATGAAGAATATCAGTTATATCCGCTTTTTTCTCCTTGATTTTTTGTGGAATTAGGTTCTTTAAATCTAAAGGTTTTATTCGTTGTTCGAATATTTCTTCTAACTTGGTCAATTGAGATTTTAAAGAAAGAAATTCATTTTTTATTCTTTTTTCGAATTTTTCGAACTTCTTTTTTCGATATTCAGGAATATTTTCTACTCTCCAAGCTTCTAGTGCATAATTCTCTCTATAATTTTTTTCGCTAAAATAATTTCTTTCAATAATATAAGAGGTTAATGAATAATATTCATCTAATTGCGCAAAAATTTTCAGACAGCCTAAATTTTCACGTTTCCAATACGAATTCTTATCCAAAAAACCAATACTACATACACTAACTGGTAAATGTTCTAAGCCACTGTCAATATTAGTGCCGGCAATAGTTATAATCTTTAATTTTGTTAAGTTTTTCAAAGGTTCTAAACTTCCATGAAAACTGCTATCTACATGTATACTTTCTAAATTAACAAATTTACTAAAGTAAGTTAACTTTCTGGCTGAAAGTTTATTATTTTCTAAATCAATCTCTCTTATTTTGTCTGGATTTAAATCCGAAAAATCGATATCAGTTAATAGATTATTTGAACATTTAAGAACTTCTAGATTACTAAATCCTTCTAATTTTAAAAAACCTTCAAGGTTTTTATTACTTAGATCTAAACTCTTTATTTTTTTTCTTATTTCACGAGGATAATCTTGATCAACTATTGCTTGTGCGTTTACCATTTTTGCTATTATTACTTCTCTGTAATATTTTATAGCAAAAAAATAATTTCTTTTAAGTTTAGACTCAGTTAGTCTGATATTATAACCCGGGTAGAAAATTTCAAATTATCGATGCCAAATTCGGTTATACGCGTAGATATATAAGGGCCGGCCTTTTCGTTAAAAAAGAATGAGGTATTTATGAATCGCAAAAAAAAAAATGAAAGGTCTAAGAAAAGTGTAAGAATTCGGTATTTGATAATGGTTGATTAGTCTGATGCTATAACCCGGGTAGAAAATTTTAAACTATCGATGTCTAAATCGATTCTACGCGTAGATATAAAAGGGCCGGCCTTTAATTCAAAAAGAAAGAGGTAACTTGTTTAATCGTAAAAAAATTGAAACGTTTAAGCAAGTGTAAAGATTTAAGATTCGATAATGTTGGGGCTATTTAAAAGATTACAGTTATGCGTTATCAGTAAGCAAAAATGGTCTGCATATCCTTATTAGTCGAAAATTAACATGTACTGTATTACGTTCTTTATCATAAATTAAGGAAATTATATATCATCTTTATCGTCAATTCAAATAATTATATTACACGTCTTTATCTTCAATGCAACAATTAAGGGCGTTCTCAAGTATTCGTAAATGTATTCTATAAAGAATCTTATTGGTCTGTATAATCAAACTGGCCAATCAGAATCCTATCGAATTCATTGAAAAGAATGCCTTATGTAACACAACTTTATTATTAATTTAAACAATCATGTAACACGTCTTTATCGTCAATTCACACAATTATGTAACACCTTGAAATTAGCTATTGTTTTAAAAATAATAACAATTTATTACTTTGTTTTACGTTCGTTGTTTTTTATCCTATTACGTAATCTTTATGCGTGTGGTTAAAAATATTCTCATAAACTAAAGAAAGAAATTTATCTCTTTATTTTTTTTATATATTATTAGATATTAGTGCTACTGTGATTTTCTTTTCTTTGGTTTCTTATTTCTATCATGTTTTTTTAAAATAATTTATTACATTACTACTTTATTGTAAATATCGATGTGCACTAACATCTAAAGATTCATATGTGCAACATTAGAACGACTTTATCATATCTTTATATATGTTTCATACTATTTAGTACTAAATTTTGATTAAAACAATTATTAAAATAGAATAAAAATAGACTTGAATCATGTAGCATTAAAAAGAAAAACAACACGGATAAATAGCGAGTCATTCAACTGCAATCCGGTACTTTGTATAACCTATGAGTGCCTTAGTCAAATAAAAATGGTTAGATTTGGACGTTTTGATTTACATGTTCTGATAAAGTTGTTTCATAAATTATTACACATGTGGATAATTCGGGTAAAAAAATGGAATATTTCAAAGAATATTATTCAGTCATTTTTGTTTCCAAATTTTTAAGTTATAATCAAATAATTACTTTAGAATTGTTTTGATACACGTTGATATTGTAATATTTGAAACAACTAGACACAAGACACACGTTAAATGACGAGTTTGATTGACAATATATTGGGTTTAAAAATTAATATAATATAAACTATAAACGCTTGATTTTATTGTTATATTATTTATGTGCGTCATGTTAAAATTTTACGTCAAATTGGTTCAAATTAAACATTTTGTCGGGATAAAATAAAAATTTGCTCAAACAAAAAATATGCATAAAATTAAAAATGGTAAACTAAAAATAGTGTCAGACCAAGTGTTGCGTCTAGGGATGTTAGGTAGTTCAATGAAACCTAGTTTGACTGAGTTTGGAATCAGATCATAATCGTTCAAAACCGAACCAGTCAAATTAGCTGGTTTTTCACGTGAAATTATGACATGATCCAATATTGATGTTATCATAACTTTAGGGAGTGAATATTTCCGATACGAATTCCATTGTAATCTGATATGTATAGATTAATTTCATCAAATTGTCCAATTAGTCTGGATGAAGATATTTTCATATGTTGCAAACTTGTAATTATCAAGCTATTTGAAAGAATTTATTATAAAATAAATTTTATAGTGGATATCGCGTGTATTTTGAAATACAGAGGTTTTGTTTGCCAATAAAAATAGAAAATAATTACAATATTAAAATGATTGCACTTAAATTTATGTGAAAAATGTTCTGAAATTATCTTAAATATACTGTAACTCATGTAGATTTTACTGAAAAACTAGACAAGATTTTCAAATTAAAGAAAAAAGATACTATTTATTTTTACTCGAACTCAGAGTGCTATAAAAGGTTAGAGGATTTGGAATTGGTATCGACGACCTAAATAATCTTTGAGTTAACTTTTGAATTTCAACAATATGCTTAATCAATTCAACAAGCATTGTTCCGTGAACAAACCCCCTAAGAGCGATTTCATAACAGCTTATATTTTGATCCAATCTTTTATGATAACTTAACTTTTTTTCCAATCTTTTTAAATCTCTATAAGCTCCTTTATAAACTTCGTTTTTGTCTTCTCTGTGAAAGAACCTGACTTTTTCCAAATCAATGGTTATTTTTCTTGCTTCCTGTAAATGTTGTTCTAATTTTTTATTATCAGACAATTTTCTTCGCATTTCTTTAATTTCCTTATGAAGGTAAGCACTAGTGCCTCTTCCACTATGAAGAATATTAATTATCTCTGCTTTTTTCTTTTTTATTTGTGGAATTAGATTCTTGAATTCTAAAGGTTTTATTTTCTGTTCAAATATAATTTCTAATTTAATCAATTGAGATTTTAAAGAAAGAAACTTGTCCTTTATTAGTTTTTCTTTCTTTTTTTGCCTATATTCAAGAATATTTTCTATTCTCCATGCTTCTAGAACATCCCTTTCACAATATTTTGGATCGTGATAAATAGGATCATAAACAGTAGTTAATAAAATATATTCTTCCAGTCGCTTAAGAACTTTATGGCAACCAAAATTTTCGCAAGAAGTAATCAATGATGTAAAAGAATTCCATTCTCTATCAAAAAAACCAGTGCTATTTACGCTAATTGGTAAGTATTTTAAGCCACTGTTAATGTGAGTGCCAGCAATAGTAATACTCTTTAATTTGCTTAAGTTTTTTAAAGGCTCTAGACTTCCATGAAAACTGCTATCTACTGATATTCTTTGTAAATTAACAAATTTGCTAAAGCAAGTTAGCTCCCTGATTGAAAGCTGATTATTTTTTAGATTAATTTCTTTTATCTTTTCTGGATTTAAATCAGAAAAATCAATATCTGTTAATAGATTATCTGAACAGTTGAGAACTTCTAGGTTACTAAATCCTTCTAATTTTAAGGAACCCTCTAAGTTTTTATTACTAATATCTAAGCTTATTATTCTTTTTCGCGTTTCTTGAGGATACTCTTGATCAACTCTTGCTTGTGCGTTTATTAACTTAGTTTGATCAACTCTTAGTTGTGCGTTTACCATTTTAGTTTAATCTTCCTATATTGTTGCTTTGATTTTAGTTTGTTACTTGATTGTTGCTTTTTCGTAATATTTTATAGTAAAAAAAAAACTTTTTAAGTTTAAACTCAATCTCGTATTATAGCCCGAATAGAAAATTTCAACTTTTGTGTCGAATTCGGATCTAATCCGTGGTTTTTTTCATTCAAAGGAAGGGTACTTTAATTGTAAAAAAAAATAAAAAATCGAAACGTCTAGGAAAGCGTAAGAATTTTGGGTAATATTTGGTTAGGCTATTTAAATGGTTATGTGTATTTGATATGATCGTTATTAATCAGCAGATCTAATAATCCGCATATCCTTATTAGTCGAAAATTAATTTACGTATTGCCTAGTGTTAGAGATGTGAAAAGTCTAGTCTAGTCCGACTCGACTTCAATAGTCGAACCTTTAATTAAAGTTCGTTCACAAGTCAAACTTGAGTCGTATCTGCACGTTGTAACAGGTAGGACTGGTGCCAGGGCGGTTGTTATCAGAATAACAACAAATAGTGGCAGATTTCGAAAGAGACAGGCGTGAAGATCTGGACTACGTTACTTTGTGGTCACAGGACTGGATCGCTAATTTCACTTATTAAGGAGAATTAGTGAAGCGAAGAGCTATTGAACCCTTATCGAGCTCTCCTTCATTGATGGTAAGCTTAAGCTACTTATATACTTTAATTACATGTGAAACAAATTTATACAAAATAGATTCTATTTATATTTTCTTTACTATCGTATCGTTATCGTTGATCAGTACTATTTCGTCGATAAAAATCAAACAAATCTAAGGTTGTACTACGCCGGAACCGCAGTACTTCCGAAGTAAATTCGAGTGCGCCTAGTATTTTATAAAAATGTGTACGTGCGTACTTGCATACGTTCATATTTAAATATACTAAATGCATGTGCAGATACGAGTCGAAGTTCCAAGCCCGTTAATGTCAAGCCGGACCAGATCGGACTTTACACATCCCTACTTGGCGTTATATCTTCATTGTATTTGGTTCTATATATCATGTAATTATATTTATGTGTGTGATTAAAATTTCCTTGAAAAAAGCAGGGAAAAATTTTTACTCACTATTTGTTTTATATATTTTCTTAATCTTTTTTTTTTCTTAATCTTTTTTTTTTCATCATTTTTTTTAATAGTTTATCGCATGACCACTTTATTGCAAAGTATCGATGTGCACCTAAATTATCATTCACGCTATGAACATCTAAAGATTCACATGTACAACATTAGATCGACCTTATCGTATCCCATTTACATCTCATACTATTTCGTACTAAATTTTAATTAAAATTATTAAGTTAGAATAAAACGAACTTGAATTACGCAATATTAAAATGAAAAGTGACGGGTAAATTTGCGAGTCAATTGCTCCACAATTCAGAACTTTGCATAACCTATAAAAAGCTTAGCCAAATAAAGGTGGTTAGACTTAAACGAGTTGATTGAGTCGTAAGTAGGTAATCAGTTCCTTGAAACTTTATTAATGGTTCAATTTGGCTTGACTCAAAACCAAGTAGAGCCTGCCCTATAT